ACAGGGTTCAGGGAAGGCCTGTCACTCGACTGAGACCCTGGGGCCTGTGCTGGAGATATCCGAAGGTAGAGCTGGCACCTCCTAAGCACGGGAACGAAACAAGAGAAGGTGGAGAACAGGAAGTCTGGATTCCTGAAGCTGGGTGCACCGGATGAAGCAAGCCTAGTCACAGCTGATCATCTGACCACAGCTGCCCATGAGCCATGTACCTGCAGAGTCCATGCAGGCAGATGGACAGAAGTATTGGGAGTCCAGGGGAGAGGTCTTAGCTAAAGAAACAAATTTTGAGGAAAATTTCCTGCACAGTTCCTGGCAGACCACCAAGGCATATACTTGAGAATTCATAAATGCTTGTGAAGCATTTGTTGATTGATAATCCATGGAAAGGGCAGGTGAGATTTTGCATCCTGGAAAGTATTTTGAATCTCTTGGCAAGGAGTGTTCTGGAAACGCCTGAAGAGTGCTAGGTGCTGTAGCAGCTCAACAAATATCAATTCACAGGGATGACTCTCAAGAAAGCAATGAACTGTTCTTTCCATGGCTCACCCTGCCTGGCTTAACTGACACCATAGCCATTGTTCAGCTGCTGGTACCCTTTGTCCCCTATCCTCAGGATCTTTCTTCCTGATGATTTGGTTGCTGACCTGAGCATCTCACTCTGTTTTCATCACTGCCACTTTGCTCTCACATTTGGGGAACACCATCGTCTCTCTGATTGTCCCCAGTGACTTTCTCAAAGTCCACTCTCTACAGGTGTCTGAACCTGCCCTGATCATGCATATGAATTGAGCACCTGTTACCTGTCAGGCACCACACTAGATGATATTTGACACACTTGTAGCCACCCTACAAGGCAGATCCTTACCCACTGGGTTCAGCTTTTATCACCTTGGGAGGTTAGGTGTTTGGCTGTAAGACAGATGGTTAGAAAGATTGGTAGAACAAGAAGTCAAGTCTAAGTTGACTCCGCAGTTGAGCTACCTGTCTTCATGGGTTGAACAGTTCTTCGGATTTTGCCTGTGGAGTCAACCTGCCCCTTTCTCCCACCTGGAGTTCCAGTGGAGTCCCTCAGGCAAATGGTCCTGTGGCTCATAATTGGTTATCAACACAGATTGACCTGAGTTTTAGTCCAGAGTCACAGTGTTTCCCATATCTCTCACTGCAGGCTCCACTTGCTACCCTGGTATGCATACTGATCCTGTGAACTTGACGTTCCTACACTGAGAGGTCCATAGTCCAAGAAGGTATGAATGGTATGAATCTTCAGAAAGAGAATAAAGAATAGGGATATGGCAATCCAGCTAAGGACCAGGACTGGAAGGGGATGGGCTGAACATGAAAAAGGAGGGAGTAGAGCTGTGTGGAGAGTTAAACTAGGAACACGGTACATCAGGAATAATTATTCATTGTCCAAAGAAAAAGCCTATGAGTTATGAGAACATGTGAAGAGCTTTACTCTCTGGCCACATGCTGCAGTGGGAAGGCATTCTGTCTTCATTAGGCTGTCCGCAGAGCAGGCAGGTGCACCATGAAAAGTGCTATTTGACTAAACACTGAAGCAGGAACATCCAGAGGAAGCAGAGCTTCCACTTGCAAGAGGCCAAGCCATGGAAATTACTCACAGCTCACACCACATTGGAGGGCAAAGTGAGCCAAGACTGTGCCTGCTGTCATCTATCTGAGCTGCACCTGTTCCTCCAGCAAAGTTGACCCTTTAACACTTGACACCTGCCTGGCTGGTTGGCCCCAAGCTGCCTGCTGATGAAATGGAGCTGATGAAAATCCACCTCACATTAGGTTTCATGGCTAAAGTAGGATAAGGAATAATTTCTAGGGGCTAGCTACCTGTGGATGGAGCATCAGTCAGCATTACTTATTAAGTAGCCAAATTGATATGGGTGGAGAGGTAAAAGAGAGGCTTAAGACAGACAGAAGGGTAAGAAGAGCCACCATCCACCATATCCTTGAATAAGCTGATAATGAGGACTGCGTGGCAGATCTCAGCAACCTGGATGATCGAAGAGCTTCACTTGAATTCTAGAAAGAGTTTCTGTGATCCTGAGAGTACACCTGTTGCCTTTGCAGGTATAGGTGCAAATGGTCCACCTGATTCGAAGTGCAGCTGACATGGCTGCAAGGATTTCGAGACACAAAGATGCCCCCTTTCCACTTGGCCTCTCTCTCTGAATTAAAGTCACACACACACACACACACACACACACACACATATATATGGTTATATCATCACTGTGTTCCCTTTCATTAGATACTCAAAATGCCAATACTCAAAGTCTCTGCTGTATTTCACATACCTTCACTAATGCTGAAACAAAGCATCTGTACACATCTGCTGACTATGTGAGCAATGACTGATTTCTGTCCCCTAGGGTTCAGGAATTGGTCCTAGTGTTTCACTTTGCCCAATTGTTATTATTGCCCCTAGCACAGTTCTTAGTGATATTTAAAGTCTTAGGTGCACTCTAAATGTTATTTTATTTTATTGTGTGTGCATGCATACTTATTCTTGTGTATGGGTGTGTGTATGTGCACCTCTGTGGACATGAATGTGTAGACCGGAGGACAACCTCAGGTGTCATTCTTCAGACTCTATCCATTGTTTTGAGACACATTTCTAAAAAGCCAAGCACAGTGGCATGTACTTATAATCTTAACACTGGAGACAGAGACAGATGGATCCTTGGGATTTCCTAGCCAGCCAGCCTGCCTAGGCCACTAGCAAGTTCTAGGTCAGTGGCCTAGGGAGGATGACCAGGAAATCCCAAGGATTATAAGTACATGCTGTGTTTGTAAGGTGAGCATTTTACTGGTTGAGTCATCTTCCCAGCTCCTTAGTTTACTCTAATTCTATTCTTTTCCTCAGACATCTTTTTTTTTTAACCTATGAAGAAACTCTAAATAAAAAACAGGAGTGTGCAAATTTTCAGTAATTTGTCTCATAATTCTTACTGAAGACACCAATACTTTACATAATTCAATTAAAGACATATTTACCTTTTCTCTAATTTGAGTATTACTGAATATCCAAAGGAGTCAGTGACAGGATCAGACTATTAAGTAAATTGGAACTCATCATTTTTTCATAATCATTAGATCTTTTCTCCTCTCTAGTGTTATTTCTAGGGTGAGAAAAATCTAGTCTACTCTATTAAAATCAAGACTACTTGATGACTTTCAGTCCTTTTCCACATAAGTAAAATTTTATGTAGGAAAATGGATTGACTTGTTTTAAGTTAGCTAAGGCTATAGGGGGATATATGTATATACATACATACATATATATGTATTTGTATAAAACCTAAGTCTTTGAAAAATGTTCAAACCAGTCTCAGAAAGCAGTGATGTTCCAGGACAAGTCTCAAGAGTTTGGGAATTGAAGACATTTCCTCTTAACAGGGCCTACATGGAGCTTTAAAAGCTCTCTGTTACTCTGTATTTAATCAAAGTAATAACAAAAAGAAACAAGGACTTGTGGGCCTTTGGTTTGAGAGATACTTGTTTGGCTATTAAAAAAAAATTGGTCAGGATAAAAATGGGAAATAGAACCTTCATCCTGCTTTTCAGATCTTGCTAGCACCCTGGGTTGATAAGAAAACTAAATCGTGAGGTGGGGGGGCTAGGGAAATTCTGAGGGCTTTGGGAATATTAGGAGTGAATATATTTTCAAAACTATTTGCAGGATTAAAACATAGTCACTTTTCATGTAAAGTTTTATTATTCTTAAATTCAAGTAAATATGACAAAGCATTCAGATTTGCTAACTATGGTTGTTGGAAGTACCCAGATATTTATTAGTCTCTGTACGTTTTTTCCTAGAAACATTTCATAACTGAATATATTAAGAGTCAAAACCGGCTACGCCTGGTCAAATGCCCATGGCAGGGGAGGTCATAGGCTCTCGTTTTGCTAAATGGACATTATGTGACCATTAAATTGCCTTCTAAAAAGCTGTATTTTTGCCCAGGGATTAGTGCCACTGTCAGATTTGGACAAAGAACTTCTTTTTGCAGTGGGCAAGCTGTAACTGTTGAGACTTATAATTGGTCAAAGTTCTGAGAGTAAGTGACTGTGGTGTGCTCAGCCATAAATGGGACATCTCTGTCACCCCCTCCAAGGCTCAGGAAACATCACTGAAGAGGGGATGGAAAGACTGTCAGAGCAGGAAGAAGGGGTTGAGTGTTGTGAAATGTTGTCTTCTGGGCACAGTAAGCTGTTGGAACTCTTGAACTCACAGCATCTGTGATTACCTTTACAAGATTTCAAGATCTGTACAAGATCGAGTCTGTCAATATCCTGTCCTGAAGGCAGGAGGGGCTCTTGAAGCCCCACCCCTCCCTGAGGATAAGACAATTAATAGTTGCAATGGGAGAGACATTTTCTTTAGTGGTATAGCCTCTGGTAAGGCACCTATGCTCCTGTAGCTAATCCTAATGAAACTTACTGGGTTTCTCTTCTCTCTGTCTCTGTCTCTCTCTCTCACACACAATAAAGACATGAAATTAGAATAGAGGGTTAGTTAAGAAGAAAGATCAGTTGGAGCAGAAGGGGGACAAGGGACAAGAGAGGGAAATGGGACTGAATATGATAAAAACACCTTATACATATGGATAAAAATGTCACAGTAAAACCCATTATATTCAATTAATTAATATGCTAATCATATATGCTAATTTAAAAAGAGCCAAAATTACTGTAACACAAAACAACCATAGTACACATATTTAGGTGGATTTACAAAGGATGTTTAATTTATCTCTGCAATGGTTAAAATGTGAGACTTCTGGTTCTTAGTTTGCAAGACTAAGTGTTGAGATAACATCTAATTTCAAAATATAGTTTATGAAGTTATTTGATTTTGTGGCACTCTACTAAACATTAATAGAAATCAGCCCCAAGGGAACTGCATCTCTCCAGCATCATCAGCACAGGGCTGCCACTTCATCGCGTTTAACAAGGTGTACTGGGAAGAGCTGAATACCGACCTCCCGTGGGCAAATGATCCTCTTAGGACGAGGTGCCTCTTGTTGCAATTGATACACTGCCAAAAAAAAAAAAAGATAATTATAATTAGAAAACAGCACTGCATACACCAACACACCCTTCCAAGTCCATCCTCAAGACTGCACACATAAAGACCAGGAGAGCAGGGTGGTGCATTCTGTAGACTGGGTGAAGTTGGAAGTCAGATCATTTATATGCAAATTAGTCACTTTGAATGTAAACTGGCAAAATTGATTTTTTACTCTTATAAAGCCAATTTAGTTTCATAAATGTTACTGGCATTGTTCATTTTATGGCTTTCTTGGGAGACTAGATGGAGCTAAAATTCTTTTGACTATTTTAGAGATGAAATTCTACTGATGAGTACCTGGGTGTAGGATCACACAATAGGATCCCTGAATTTAAATGCTGATGGCTCCTGACAGAGCTGGGAAGAGCTGTCGGCAGTGACAGAGAAATCTTACAGCTGTGTACAAAGACAACAGATCCTGTGGGTGAAGGGAACAGTCATATATTCTCTCTCTCTCTCTCTCTCTCTCTCTCTCTCTCTCTCTCTCTCCACACATGCTTTTTCCCTGCCAGTCACCATAGATTCTCATTCATTTGACATTTGAATACTTCTATCTGTTGTCCTTCCTCTTTTCCAGGCCCCTTCACATCTTAATAATAACCGTTCTAGCCTATTTTAATGACAGACTTCAGGTTTGGGCATGGGGAAAGCAGGTGACTATTCGGCAGATAATTACCTATGATTTCTCAGACTGCAAGGAAAGAATGTTTTTCTGCTGAAATAATGTGATGTTCCTCTCTCCTCCCTCTCTCCACTTCCTCTCCCACCCTCTTTCCTTCTTTCCTTCCTTTTACTCTCTGGTGCTGGGCTCCAACCCAGGGCCTCCTGCCTGCCTGGGCAAGCTCTCTATTACCAAGTTGCACCTCAGCCCTGATTATTCTCTTCAAGGGAAAAGTTACCCTTTGGATTCAACTGCCATGAAAATAGAGGTTGAAAACCAACCAAGTTAATCTTAGAATCTTGAAGAGGAAAACCAATCTTAGGTAATATAAGTGTATACAAAGGAAAAAAATATATAGATTATATAGTCTTTAAAGAAAATATAAGCACAAATTTTCTGATCTATTCTTAGTCCTAAAAACAAAACAGAAGAATCTTATTGAGGGTCAGACAGCCATACAAAGACAGGCACAGAAACTGTGGGACCTGCTTTGTGGTTATGGCTTCTCAATGCTTTCAGCTCAACATGGCTGTTTTCTTACCTAATTAAGTGTGGACTACCCAACATGAGCATAGAGGGGAAACTGGCTACCTCGTCCCAGTGTTGTAAGTGGGAGCTGCTCCCTAATGATACATGGGCCACCTAAGGAAAACTGTACCTCTATATGAAAGTACAACAGAGCTTAGCAAAGTCTTTTGGCTCAGAAAGATACCAAAACTGACTGACAGCTAAAAAGATGGCTTTCAAACACCTGCTTCTCCTTTGGAAGAAGAGCCTGCAGGTCCTGATGGAATAGTGTATAGAAAGGGGGAGCTGGGAATGGTGAGTTCCCTTCAGTGCACGTCAGTCCCTGGCACATGCTGCGCTGAGATTTTCTGTGGCTTCTGAGGTAGCCCCTTCCTCGTGTTTGCCTTTTCATTTTCTAGGCCTGGTGTTGCCCCTTCTTCCTCTGCCTACTCATTGACAACAGGACATACTCAAGTTTGACCCAAGACCCTCTGCAGGTCCCCTCCATCTTCCTCTTCCTACAGACTCTCCCACATTTAACACTTCATGTATGACTTACATTTAGAAGGCTCCATTTCTGCTCAGAGCCCTCCTTGTAGCCCCAGGCCATATACCCAACATCTCAGAGGCCTGTTGAGTTGCTCAAAAGGACTTCAAATCCAACATGTCAGAAGTTGAACTCAAGACCATTTCCTCTAAATCTAGGCCTCTCACAAAGTACCAATATTAGCAAGCCACCATCCTTTGTTTCTCTCCCACCAGCATCCAGAAATTGTCTATGACCATCATACGGCCCCTTTGTTATCAGGCCTGTCAAGTTGCTCAGACTCTGTTTCATATCACCAATACCCTACTCCAAGCCCCAGCTCTTAAATCCCTTTACCTGTTTCCTACTCAGTGGGCAGAATGACTGTTTTAAAGTGAGACCCTGCCTCACTCCGGATTTCCAGGCCTCTTGTTGCTAGGACCTGGATAAATAGCAGGATGTCTGGCATGGGGCGGTGCCCCACCTGCTCTCACCTCAACCCATACCATGCTTTCTGTTCAGCCTAGGCAAATCCTTCCCTTTTCCCAGATATATAATGCTTCCTTTAACCTCAGGTCATTTGTGCATGCAATGCCTTCTGTCTACGGCATCCTCTTCTCTTCCCTCTCTACTTCCAGTTCTTTGCATATCATCGTCATGACAGTGTGCAGGCATCCTTCTAGACATCTCTCACACCACACCCAAAGACACCATCTGTTCTATGCTCTTACGACTCTCTCTGCTTTCCTTCATACAGCTTATCTCGTTAAAATCCTGTATCTACATTCCTGAAGACACCACACATTTTGGTCACAGGATATGGAGAAATCAAGTTCATACTGATCAAGAATCTTCCTCCTTGATGACTAGCTCTCATAGTACCAGAAGGTGTGATGTAGTCTGCTGGGGAGAGAACATCATCAATAATCTTACCTATCTGTGAACTTTGTGAACTATAATAATCACCCCCATGGCAATACGTACCCACAGGTACAATAGTGGCATGAATGTTACGAGGGTAACCAACCCATTTCCGATTGAATTTAAGGCCTGCCTCACAGGAGGAAACACATGCCTGATACTACATAACTTTGACCAAGAACCCATGGTTGGGGAGCTCACAGACCCAAGGGATGAACTGACTACTATTATTCTGCTAAATGGACATACTATGAAGCTGCTCTCTGAATTTGCATCTCTATACCCATTGATCAGTGAGCTCTCAGACCTCACAGAGAAATTTCTTTGTGCAGTAGATACTGATTAACACAAAAGTTCACAACTGGTCAAAGGGCAGAGAATAAGTGTCTGTGGAATGCTCAGCTACAAATGGGACATTTACCCAACCCTCCACCTCTTGCCAAGGCTCAGGGAACATTGCAGAAGATGAGGTAGAAAGATTATAAGAGCCAGAGGTCAGGGAGGACTAGAGCATACTCTGCCTTCTGGACACAACAGGACCACTGCACTCATGAACACACAGTAACTGTAGTTGGCTGCACACGCCAAGCTAGTCAACATTCTAACATGGAAGGGGTTAAGGCTCAAGAGCCCTTACCCCCAAATGGGAGGTACTGACATTGCTGACTTCTGGAGGAGGAAGATAGATTTCTTAAGGGTGTGGCCTCTGGTAATTTGACCATGCTCTAGTGGATGTCCACATACCTGAGAGTATGTGGTCAGCACAAAACAGGCTCTGTGGGTTATTTAAAAAAAACAAAAAAAAAAAAAAAAAAAACAGAGTTGGGAGGTTTGGGAGAGGTGGGAGTGCATCTGGGAAGATCTAAGGGAAGGAGTCAGGTGAGTATGATGAAAATACATTCTAAGAGCCAGGCATGGTGGCACACACCTTTAATCCCAGCACTTGGGAAGCAGAGGCATGTAGATCTCTGCAAGACAGAGGTCTACATAGTGATTTCCAGGCCAACTGGGGCATCAGGGAGACCCTGTCTCAAGAACACACACACAAACCTCAAAATACATTCTGTGAAATTCTCAAAGAAATTAATGAAAATATTACAAGTAAGCTCAGTAAATTCATTGATCCCCAGGTAATACTTTAATCAAACATTGGCTTGACATGAGAACCTTAAAAGGGAATAAGCATTGCTTAGTATTCTAAGAAAAGAATTCTCACAACAGATGGAAAATTTGTTAATGCTATTATGTCTCATAATTTTTTTTAAAGAAAAGAAAATGAGAATGTGAAAGATGTTAAAAGGATATGGGAATGGAGGTATTTTTCAAAATAGAAAAAATGAGAAAGCCTAAGCAACTGATGAAGGTCTGTGTAAGTTTGTTGTGATATACAAAGGATGAGACAAAAATAATATACACATAATCTTAAATTTTTCTAAGGTCATAGTTTAGTCAACTAGTTTAAGAAACAAACTATATCTAGTAAAGGTTTACCTGAGAATATGTGGTTTTTTGCCCAAGATTTATTTATATAGCATGTGGTAATTAAAAGTACCAGACTGGTGGAACTAACCTTACTGGATGTTTATCAGCCATACTTTGATGCCTATAATAATCTGGTCAGAGGTACTTAAAGGACAGTTTTTGCCCCTTGCCCTCCAAGGTCGAATAACTTCCAGGGGACTATGGAACATCTATCAAAATGTCCTGTAACTGTGGTGAGTCACCTGCCCTCCTGTTCAGGGAGGCCATAGAGACCCCACTGAATGGACTTGAACCAGTGTCCAATCTATAATCAAAATGTCCTGTAACTGTGGTAGGTCACCTGTCCTCTTGTTCAGGGAGGACATGGAGATCCAACGAGATGGACTTGAACCAGTGTCCAATCTACAAAGAGGAGGATCAACTCAGAGGGAACATCTCATCCATCCTTCCAAGTGAAGCCAGCCATGGTCGAGAAGGACCTTTGACTTATCTTCACATAGATGGAACTGGTAAAAGAGCCAGGGGCTCCTCCCAAGCCTATGTGACCCCTGAGGAACAGATCCTCAAACAACCTTAAGTATAAACATAAATTGGTTTATTTGGGCCAACTGTATGGTCTTAAACACCCAAAAGGAACGTATAACCAAAGAGCAAAAGTCATCAGAATATTTCATTAAGAGTTCAAGGGATTACACTTCCCAAACATTAGGCTTAAGTCCATATAAAAAGTTAGACAATTATTTCTCATTGATGATTTTACTCCTAATCAAAAAGTGCTGCTCAGATGTAAGATTTCAAATCTTGGTCTGCAATACTGTAGTGTCCACCTGTACCTAAGAGAGACTACCCACTATTGCTCTAAAATGATGG